CTATAAAAGGAACTACTTAGGAGCCTATGGGTAAGGAATATTCGGTACACAGTCATCAGGGCTTCCTACATCCTTTCCCTAAGGGTCCATGTAGCTTTAAGGGCTCTTTTGAGAGCTACTATAAGGGCTAAAATAAGGGTTCTTTAGGGCTTAGGGCAGTTTAGGGTTTAAGGGTCCATGTACCCAAATAGAAAAAAAATAGTCGGGCCCCAAAGTACCCAAATAGGGACTACTTTAAGGCCAAAGTATAGCTATTTGGGTACATGGACCCTCAGGGTTTCTTTTAGTTTGAAGTGTAGCAGTGTGTCAGATAACCGCAAAGAACAGCGCACAGTTGAGCATTGTGGCTACCACGGCTCAAGCAGGTCGGTGCCAATGTGCACCGAGCACCTGGTAGTTTAGGTTTTAGGGCTTAAGGTTTGGGGTCTAGGGTTTGAGGCTTGCTGTCGAGGGGTTGAGGGAGGTTTTGGGTTTAGTGTTCCCTAGTTTCCGTGCCGCCCTCAGAAGTAGGTTGGCACGAGTCGCGAGCTGATTACGTACTCCTGATCCTCATTACAATGTCGTGGCACCTGCGGGCCCACCGCCTTGCCTTGACCCTTCTGATTCTGGGTTGCATCCAGGAGCTGAACTTTTTTTTCTCCCCCATGGAAATCTGAGTCGCCGAAGCGTGCCGGACCTGCAAGGAGCCGCCGACTTCAAGCGTCGCCGATGAACGCCCGTTCGTGGAATCCCAGCATGGACGCCGCCAGTGGCTTGCGGAAATCTCTCCAGGCCTATTTTAGGCCGCAGGACATTGGCGCAAGAGAGATGAAGGCCACCTTCAAGAGTGCCTTACTAGCTGAGTAGGTAACCTGTAACCTTTTTGGGCTTAAATAACCCTACCAAAATTGAAAGGTTAACTTTTTTTGGGCTAGGGTACTCAGCCCCTATAAGGTGCCCAGGATGCCTTGCAAAAGTATCACAGAAAGCATCGCTTCGTTCCCACGCGAGCATCCTTCCACCGCTGGGGCGTTCCGGGCTTCTTCCATGCATTCGTGCTCTTGGAAGGTGACAAGCAGCGCAAGTGGTGGCACTTCTGGAAACGACAGGACATGTCCATGACGGTGCTGATCGACTTTGGCGCTTTTGGCGTTCGAGTAATGTCCAATTCACCTGAAGAGCTCGACTCCTTCTACAGAGCACAAATGGTTAACAAAGATGCTGTTCCAGACATCGTGCGCTGGTTAAAGCAGCGCCGGCTGGCAAAAAAGGTGGACGTCAACGGGCCGGATGCAATCCCCAGCATTGTCAAGTGGCTCCAGCTGAAGGTGAAGAAAGAGCAGAAGTATCACGTGGTCAAGTACAACTGCCATCACTTTGCGCATGAGCTCATGAGCAGCCTCACATAAGTTGTTGCCTCAGGGTCATCCAGCGCCCACTCTGGTTGTAAACTTCAGCATCCAGTGGTCCGGCGATGTCAAAACAACCTCGCTCACTGGCTGTAGGTCTGGATTTAGCGCTTAGGTTTATGATGGTCTATGTTTTCGTCTACTATGCCTGTATTGCAGCCACGCAGCCCTAAACCGAAAGCCCTAAATTCTAGACCCTAAACTCTATAACCGAAGCCTCGCCACGTTGTGGACATGTTTGCAACAGGTGCAGCACGGCGAGTTCAACGGCGCGGCCATATCGATGCCGGGATCTTTCCCAAGTGGTCCAAGTACCCCAAAGTGGTGAGAATAATAGCAAGAAGACCAAGAAGTGAAAAATCCCTGCATACACTTTCGCCAAAAAAATACTAGCCCACATAACTATTCTCCTATACCCAGGTACCCGATTTTTAGACCCCAAAGCTTCGATTTGGAGATGGATTTGTGGGTTGTTCATGTTGGTTCATTGTTTACGGTTTTGCTGCTGGGTTCCTACTGTAGTACAAGAAAAACTGGACCCCAGAAGTATTCATTTCCCAGTAAGTCACTGAACTGCATAGATGAGCTGTGGCAGGTTTTGTCGACATTGCTGGATGAAGCAGAGGCAACGCGCGACAGGGCTCTGGCTAGACTTTTCTCTGTTGGTCTCATTTTCGGCGGTAGGGTTCAGCATGTATCCCATGCTAGGATCTTAACGGAACCATAAGCAGGTTATTAAAACCACCCTAAACCATAAGCCGGAATGCCTTTAAAGAGCCAACGTCCTAGACCATCGAGTGTTGGGGGGCGAGGTTTGAGTCTGAGCCCTGCAGACCAGACACAAGACCACATCTGAACCCTAAACCCTAAACACTATAAAACCCTGTAAACCCTATAAACCTTATAAACCTTGTAAACCCTATAAAACCCTATGAACCCTATAAAACCTATAAACCCTATAAACCCTGTAAACCCTCTAAACCCTCTAAACCCTAACCCTAGCCATCTTCTTGCAAGAGCCCATAGCCCAAGGGCCCCTCGTTCTATGCTAACTACCATCTGCTATATGAGCCTGAGCTCCATGCCGAACCCAAAACCCTAAACCCAAATCCTTAAACTCATAAACCCTAAACCCTAAGCCCTACACCCTTCATGAAGCCTTATGAAACTCCTGGAGTGTAGAGACCTTGGGGCACAAACGGTTAGCCCACTTCCCAGATTCCATTCACGTAAACCCTCCTGTTACTAAACCAAACCCTAAACCCTGAATCTAAACACACCCTACTAACCCTAAGGTTTAACACCAACCTTGCAAACACCTAAACCCTAAACCCTATAAGTTTAACCAAGCCCACCAAAGGCTCGTAAACCCCAGGCATTACCCGCAACCCTAAACCTCAAAACCCTAAAACCCTAAAACCCTAGATAAAACTCTAAAACCCTAAACCCCTAAACCCCTAAACCCTTAAACACTAAACCCTAAACCTTAAAACCCTAAACCTAAACCCGAAAACCTTAAAACCCTAAACCCCTAAACCCCTAAAGCCCTAAACCCACATCCTGGGAAGCTTAAGGTTTGGGGAGCGTGACCTAAACCCCAAATCCGCCTAAACCTAGGCGTTTGACCTGAGCTCTCCTAAACCCCTTTAAGGAACCCTATAGATCCCTTTAAGGAACCTTAAAACCCTCAACCCCTAAAGCCCTACACCTTCGACCTGAGCTCTGGGCCAGGCCAAAGCCAAGGGAAAGCTGCGGGAAGCCGCTTTTCCCGCCTCCGAGGAGCGCCTGCGGCAGTGATTTTTGTCCCGTTATAAAGGGTTTCTTACAGGGATCTATAGGGTTGCTTAAAGGGGTTTAGGGGTTCAGGGTTTTAGGGCTTTAGGGTTTAGGGTTTAGGGGTTTAGGGGTTTAGGGTCTGTTAAACCCTAAACCCTATAGACCCCTAGACCCCTCAACCCGACACTTTAAACTTGACTGGGTTCTTGTTAAAGGATTTAATTTAAATTCCCATAACAGGGATCTATAGTAAATAATATGGTTTCCTCATTATGGTAACTTCAATTAAATCCCTTAAGAAGAACACATATAAACCCTAAACTCTAAACTCTCCCCTAAACCCTAAACTCTATAAACCCTATAAGCCTAAACCCTAAACTCTATAAACCCCTATAAACCCTAGAACCCTAGACTCGAAGCTCGAAGTCCTGGAAAAGGCATCCTCCCAGCTGGCGAAGCTCCGGGAGGAGGAGCGGAAGCTTCTGGAGGCCTTTCAATGGGGTTTTGGGTGTATGTAGGGGTTTTGGGTTTTTGGGGTTCAGGGTTTAGGGGTTTAAGGTTTAGGGTTTAGGGTGTAGGGTTTTTGGTGTTTAGGGCTCAGGGTTTAGAGTTTAGGGTTTAGGGTTTGGAGTTTAGGGGCTTAGGGCCGTTTAGGGTGTAGGGGAAACGGTTTAGGGTTTAGAGTTTAGGGTTTAGGGTTTATGGGGTTTAGAGTTTAGGGTTTAGGGGTTTATAGGAGTCAGGGGTTTATAGTCGTTGTCTTTTTGAGGGTTTAATTTAGAGTTTAGAGTTTAGGGTTTTATTACAGGGGCTTCCGGGCTCTCCTTTTTGAGGGTTTCTGCCAGCGGTTGTTTACTCGGTTTTTGGGTGGGCCTTTAGGATCCCACAGTCGGGGATCTACTTGTTGGTGTTTAGGGTTCCTTTCTTCTAAGGTTAGAAGTATGGGCCTCTAATATTATGGGCCATTAAATTAGGCCTTTCTAGGGATCCTTAAAGGTACATGTAGGGTATGTAGCAAGTGTATAAGGATCCCAGGGTTAAGGGCCCATACTAGCCGCCCATAGACTCTCCCAAAGATACTTGTTTTGTGTGTTTAGGGTTCCTTTCCTAGGTTCCCCAGTAGTACCCTTTTGCCCTTTTGATTTGGGGGTCCCCTTATTAACGCCGAAGATCAGGAAAAAAGGGCACCCTTATTATTAAGGGATTGCTGGGGAACCTAGTTTCTAGGGTTGCCTGACAGGGGGTTTCCGGGTTTTGGGTATCGGCTCTCGGGATCTAGCCAGCTTACACCCTAAGGGCCCAAAGGACCTAAGAAGGGTTCTATGTAAGCTTCCTCTAAACCCTAAATCCTAAACCCTGACACCTAAACCCTGAATCCTAAACCCTAAACCCCCAACCCTGAATTTGCCCTGAATCCTCAACCGTGGCTCTATAACTAAGGGTTCTACAAGTGGCCTTTTAGGGTTTCACGGCTCACAGGGAACGCCCCGAATCATTGGCTTCAGTCAGCAGATTAGTACCGATGATATAAATCCTACGTTTCCTTATGGATCCTAAACTATGGGAATCATGGTATATTCCTTAGTATGGGTAATGCAAGATTTATATCATCAACCGCAGTACTGGAGCTTTCTGGGGGTTTTAGGGTTTACTAGGCAACTTAATAGGTAGAACAGATAGGTTTAGGGTTTAGGGCTTTGGGTTTAGGGTTTATAGGGTGTATAGGGCTCATAGGGCTTATAGGGTTTAGGGTTTTAGTGTTTAGGGTTTACTGGGCAACTGAATAAGTAGAATAGGTAGGTTTCTAGGTTCAGGTCTTATGGGGTTCAGAACAAATGGAATTGAATAGGGTTCAGGGTTTACAGGGGACCTTAGCAGTACTTGTAGAAGGCTTTTTTGGGGCCTCAATATGTAGATTCAACTAAACCCGAAACCCTAGCCCTAAACCCAAAACCCTAAATCCTAAACCCAAAAACCCAACTAAACCCCAAACCCTAAGCCCTAAACCCCAAACCTCAAATTGAACCCAACTAAACCCTGAACCTTCAACCCCAAAACCCTAAACCCTTAACCCCTCAAACCTTAGATCCTAAACCCTAAACCCAAGAACCCCAAAAACCCAAACCTTGGATCCTCGAACGTGGGCTCTGCAAGGCGGATGTCAGCGGCGAAAGCGCCAACGATGCAAAGATCGCGGAGCTAGCGGTCAGCACTCTGGGAGTTCAGGGTTTAGGGTTTAAGGGTTTAAAGAGTTCAGGGTTTCAGGGTTCCAGGGTTTTGGGTTCAGGGTTCAGAGCTTTAAGGGTTTAGGGGATTTGGGTTTAGGGGTTCAGGGTTTCAGGGTTTAGGGGATTTGGGTTTAGAGGGTTTAGGGGTTTAAGGATTTAG